AAGCCATGTGATTAGAGAGACTCACTTATATACTGATTATATATCATTGCCATAGTTTGCCCTGTAGCAAAATTAAGCAATTTACTACCTTCTTCTTTGAATGAGTGTGTTTTACCACTAGCCAAATAAGTAGTCAGAACTGCATTGCCTAATCTATGAATTCATCTATTATGCTGTTGCATAATCCCTGAAAGTGTGGAATAATCATAGCCTTTTAATGGCAAGCTTTAAAGAAGGAGGCAGAAAGTGGCATCTCTCTGCAAATGATCAGAGAAGAGCCAGTGTACTGTAAACACACTTTATCATTTTAATGAGACTGACACAGTTCTCTATCAGCCTCTCTGTTCTTTCTACCCAGTGGAGCACACTATCAAATATTGATGGGCAACATGGTTGCTCTAATACCCAGCTCTACTTATGTTTATGTATCTCCGCAACACACTCTGGAATCACATCTTTACTGCAGCGAGTTGACAAGTGTACACTTTTAAAATAAAAAAAATTAAAAAAACAAACAGCTTCATTTCATCTGCGACAGAGAATCCTAAAGAACACTGAACTTATGTACAGGAGACACAACAGCCTCATGCCAAGTGCACAGATACATCTGCTGGACTCACAAATTCTTCTGGTGTTCAACGTGTGTTTAGTAGGTCAGGATGTTTGCTTAACCCACTCTAACTTCGTCTGACACACTTTAAATTCAAGCACCGGGACACTGTGAAGGACGGAACACACTGATGAATTAGGCTAATTGAAATGACTCTACTTAAATCACCCAAGAGAAGAGAGAACCTGAATATTACCATCAAACAACACCAGAATGAGTGTGCACAACATAACATACATTTTCCATTTACAGTATTGTGACCTCCAAACAAAAGGGGCATTCAGTTAAAAAAAACATCTGCTAAAAGTTGCAATATTATTTTGTTCAGCATGCATGCCTCGTTTTTGCTTCACTGGTACTTCCAGTGGTTTTGTTTCTACCTGAGTGCCTCTGGCTCTTTTTCTCCCCTCGTTTTCCTCCTCCATCTCTCTTGTTTCCAAAAACTGCTCTGAACATAGCTGGGCTGTTGCTTCACCGTCTACTGACTGTGGAAGGGAAAAAAAGTTAAATGTTCATTTGAATTAGGGGCACATTATTCAGACAAAATTACCCCCGCTGTTAGTTCTTAATTCAGCTGCCACATTTAAATGGTGTTTTTATTTTAATACCATGATCTATATATATAGTCTTTAACAAATAGTTTGCACGAATTATTATAGTAAGCTAGATATGAAAAAAATTAGCATCCCAAAATTCTCAGATTACCTGCTCTTAAGTCTTCTTTGATGCCTCCATGTCCTCACATATATCCACAGGAAGCTGATGGAGGAGCATTTAAACTCGCGGAGTCCAATTAAGAAGTGTTTCACCTCCAGAAAATGATGGGAGAAGGGGGTCGTCTTGCACATGCGCATTGGCCCTGTGTTCCACATTTGATGGAAATCTGTCTATGCATTTGATACATCTTATCCTATCCTTTTATGTTTTTTGTGTCTTTATCCCATTTTGATGTTTGAACTTAATGAAACTGCCATTTTTTATTTTTTATTATTCGCTGTAATCTATATCTCTCATACTATGCCAGGCCAGCTAATAATAGTTTGTGCTCAAACTCATTTAAATTAGTTTTTGATAATTATTTTAAGAGTAGCCTAACTTCGTGTAATTTTCTAAGGAAGCTGGAGTGAATATCAAAGCAGCGCACTCGGACATTACGTTAAATACATGCCGTGATCCATTTTGAACACCAGGGGACGACAGCGCAAATTACAAGTTCCTAACCTGCCTCAAGGGGGCGACAATGAGCCGCCACCGGCATCCTTTATAATCCGGATGATAACCTCAGAGCAGTCCTTTCGCTGCCTGTGCTCTCGTGTGTTGCAACAAGTGAAAGGCGTTCTTGTGAACTTTATAATGCGTAACCTCGGCGGTTCATTCACCTTACCTGACATGACCTACTGTAAGTATATTCAGGCGCCCTGTCGAGTTAAAGACAGCTAAGTTAGTGACGTCTGTTCTGTTGAGTTTTATGGTGAATCAACGAACACGTGTAAAATGAGCTCGAGCCATTTTGTGTCACGAGTTAGAAAATATTTTGTGCAAAATAATCCCGGCTTCTTAGTTTTGCCTCAGACTAACGGCTAAGTGAGCGAAATGAGCAGTAACACGGGGCTAAATATGATGCCTCGTGCCATGAGAGAGAGCTGATTTTAAGAAAGGTTAATGGATACTCGTTAACGATACCAGATTTAGCATATCACCGGATGTGCTCCATTATTGCTAGTTAGCTCATGTTAATTCTAACATGAGCTTTTTAACTAATATTTTCCATGCGCATATCTGCTAAACCTGTTCTGACCTTGATTAAGTGTTAAAGCGTTTTTTAACGTTGTTTTTTTTTTTGCACTTTTAAAGCAGATCATCCCGCTGGATGAATACCTGTATGAGCCAGCTGCGGATGACTGATGTGTTTCAGCATGATGCACTAGTGATGCCAGTAGCTGTGTATTACATGACCTGAGACGACAGCTGACAAGCAGTGTGCGAACATGTATGTGTTGAGTTTACATTGTAACGACTTTGCTACTGTTTAGTAAAGTGACCAAGCCTGTCCTCGGACCACATCTTTGACAGCCTGGGCTCTCTGCTGTGAGTTCCTGGGTTATAACATTTAGATGTAATATTAAATGTCCCTGCGCTTTCTGATCGCTCATTTTCCATGGCGTCTCAGATTGAAGAAGGGAGGATAAAATGTTTGTTTTAACATGCCAGCACACAAAACCCTTAATTACATATTCTTGTAAAGAGACTGTATCATGTATAATTTTTTTTTTTCCTCCTTCAGACGTATGAAGGATATGTATAAGGCACGGGGTAATAAAACCAGAGCTGCGAGAGGCTGATAAGCTGTGGACCAACGCTGAGAATGCTGGTGAGCACTTAAAATGTTTTAACTGGGGTTGTACATTAATTTGCATCCACTGATAGACCTGGAGCAGACTTCTTTGGCTTCTGGGTTTGCATAGAGATGCTAAACTGAGCCTTCCTTGCGCTTTCTGACTGCTTCATTTTTATAGCAGCACAGATTGAATAGAGGAATACATTTTAAGCTTGTTAGGAATGGTCAAAGGTTGGGTTCACATGGGGATACGTGGTGTGACGTGACAGCTTTAAGTATTCACCCACTAAATACATTAATACCTGCACATGCTTTCAAGACAGATTTACAGGGTAGTGGTTTCTAGACAGACTGTGGTGGTCACTGTTGACTGAAGGCATTGATGAGATCTTACTTTAAATTGTTTATTGCAGGATCGCTGATATCTTTATGCAGTTGGATGTTTACATTTTCTAATATTTTTATTTAATATTTTACCCCTTCTTACAGATAATGAGTGGGATGCATTGTAAAAAGCAAATGGAGCTTGGCCCAGTGGGACATCTTCACTTCCTCTGTTGCCAAAGAAACCGAAGAGCAAGTTTGTAATTGTCATGTTGTGGTTTCAGTGCTGCATTTATAGCAGGTCTTCATCTGCCAGCAAGATTTGTGTTGTATAAACCTGACTTCCTTTTTTTTTTTTTTTTTTAAATAAATAAAATTATTCAACCGTATTTTCATGAGTACTTTTGTGAATGTAAAAGTTTAAGTCTGTGGGGAAGTATTCAACACTTTACAACTCCTGCCTCATGGGGCTTCATACTGTAAAGACCCTACATTAATACAGAAAACCGTGCATCAGTAAGTCACTGTAAAGTGACAATTAAGAATTTTTCTTGGATTATTGTAACTATAGTTGACTCTCTTTCAAAATACTAGACTGGTGGCTGCGCTGCCATATAGCTGAACTACAGCCATTCCCAAAGGCAGGTACCACCTGTCACTGGGGAATAAATTTCAATATGGGTAGTCAATGTCAGTAATGAGTAATATCAAACTGACCACCTATTACTAGTTTTATATAAATGTACTGAATGCCTTTTACTGTAGTCCACTGAAGTATAGCACTTCTGCTATATTTCTGTTAGTATTTAGAATAAAAATGCAGACATAAGTGTACATGTTAGTTTTTGATTGCTAGTGAAAATTATTTTCTTTACAAACTCACTGAACTAACAGTCACTCTCAATGTTTGTACTCATATTGCCTTCTTGGTAAATTATTTTTTTACACCAGCCAATCGCAAAATGAGTCGAGGCATTTAGGTATGCAGATTACCTACTGAAATTCAAACATCAGAAATGTAAAGTTTTTTGTTTTTTTAAGTGAAACTGCTGGTCCAGTGGGATGATTCTTCACAACCATCTCTAGGATTTACAGGTCTGACATCTTGATGTCAGGAAAATGGCCAGACTACTTAGAAGTGATAGGAAGACGACAGTAACTGAAAGACTGAAAAGACCAAAGTGGGTGGCTGCGTTGGGTCAATGCTGATTTGTCGTCACTGTGGTTTCACATTTATGCTTTTGTTTTTGTATCAAGTATTAAGCTGGCTGCTATGAAAATATAATTAAAAAACAAGTTTTCTATTGGAAAAAAACACTTTATTGCATAAGTCGACCAAATATAAAACAACCTAAAATAATACAAAAGGTGGGTTATAAGAAGACACCTGGAGTAAAGATCACAATAAATTGTGGATCCAATTTGTTGTGGTGTGGAAAACTGATGAGCCATGTTTCATTGAAGAAAAACAAAAAACAAAAACGGACTTGTAAAAGAAACGTCACAAAAATCTGAGTGGAACCTATACCAATAGTAACACTGTTTCTCTTCTAAAAAATTTTTGTCCTCTCCACATTAAACCCCATATTTCTGGATATACAAAACACTTAAAAACATTATCCACTGCTTTCAACCTCAAGTCATAGATCCTTTACTTCTTAAAACACTAATGAGCACACTCAAGCTGTGAAAGGGAACCACATCAGAAAAAGCAGTGGCCTAACCTCTTGATTTCTCCATAGTGCCCTTTATTTTTGTTCCTACAGAATGAGATGGGACTGCAAAACTCCACCTCATCGTCCAGTGCATCTTCAGACCTGATGTACAGAAACCAGGTCAAACCAAGCTCTGATCTAAGAGGAAATCCCTCCTCTGAGTGGAAAGCATGTATTGACCTTTGGATTCAAAAACTATTCATCAGTCTTTTCCTCGCCTTGGTAATGTCTGTACTCTGGCCTGAGCTCCCAGGTGTTCTTGTGTGTCCCCTTCACATTGTAGATGCCAATATCACGCAGGATTTCCTTCAAGTAAATCTGAGAAGAAAAACAATATGAGATAATATTCTTGAGAATTAAAGCTAAATGTAAAAGTAGCTTTTTGAGCCAATAGTACTGTTTCAAATGAGTTATAACCGAGCTCTCAAGTCTTACCACAGGCTGCTTGGTGATATCCACTAAGTCTTTGATGTTGTAGTACTGATGCTTCTCAAAAGCAGAAAACAACATGTCCAACACTTGCTGCTTGTCAGCTCGGGCTCTCTTGCCCTCCTCCTTCTTCTTCCTCTCATACTCACGCTGCAGCAAAAACAGGCAGAAGTCAGCTAAACAACAATTATCTAATTACTGCGCATGGAAGACTGATAATACTCTGGGCTATCGAAAAGACCATATATCATCTAAATTGATCAGGTGTGGGACTTGGCAAATTTGCTTGTTGAGAATTCAAAGTTAGCTCCCCATAGCAACAGCTCAACTTCTATATACATTGAATAAGGAAATACTGCACAATATCTCTTAAGTGCTTCATTAGATCTCAAGGGATTAATTAATTGATGCTAAATTTATTACTTTGAAAAGCAACTTAAGCTGTCTAGAACCACGAGGAGATACCAAAAGTACACAAACAGATAAACTGGTCATCAGTTCTGCTTAATGCGTTCTGAAGGGATTTAGACAGTAAGAGTCACACAAAGTGAAAAATAACACATATTTTATATTCTATGCTGAAACAATGCTTATTGACTTGTATTGTAGCAGAGAGTGTGTCTGCAGCTGTTTGTTTGCCTCTGTCTGCCTTTAAGTTTAGTCAGAGAAGACTAAAGATTTAACAGCAAAGTGAGATAATATATAATTTGCACTTATTTTCTTAAAAAAAATGTAGTAGATTTTCCTTCATTTTCCATTTTTAAGTCAACACATGTGAAAAGATTAACAATTAGGGGCCAGTTTACAGAATTTTAATATGAGAATAGGTTTTCCTTTTTTTTCATATTAACTGCTTTTATCTGTATGTTTTTTGTGATAATCCAATCTCCCGTATTTTGTTTATAATTAGAAATCAAAAATATGGGGCACTGATAAAATATGCATATTTAATGGGGGATGAAATAATCGTGCTGGGAAGTACTATGTGAAGTGGGACATGTGGTCACCTTGTGTGTGAATCCTGTAGAGCATGTGGTCAAAAACAACTAAGAACATACTAAAGGCAGTAAAATGTAACAAGAAAATTCTTGGCCAGATGTCAGTTAATTGTGTCTCTTGCGTGAACTAAACCTAACGTGAAAAGTGTAGAAAGTGAGTGTAATAATAAACAGATTTCTCTGTTGGGTTTCTTACATTGTAATCGTGGTTGGCCACAGGTTTATAGTTGTTGGTCACAGCTTTTTCCAGCTGTTGAGACAGCCTGGCCGGTTTGGAGGACTCTTCAATTTGTAACCTGTTAGAGAGACAGGGAGAAATACTTTACCTGGTAAGTATAAAATATAGATGAAACAAATATAAATGAATTTCTAGTAAAACATCCACATGTATGCAGTATTAAGACATTCTGATACAAGACAATCCATGCTATTTCATGTAACTTTGAGTGTTAAATGCTCACCTCTTCAGCCTCATATAGCTTTCACTGACAGCAGGCCTGCATTCTGCTCTCTGCACTACCACTCCCTCCAAGGTTATTTTATCTGAAAGAGAGTGCAGCTAATTAAAAAACTTGATACAGACTTTTAGTCCATGTGCACCACTGCACTTATGGCATATTTTTAAGAGAGAAGGGATAGAAACAAATGCTGTAAATTAATAAGTGGAAACAGTTTAGAAACAAGAAAGAAAAAAATCCTTTGCTAGGTGCTGTATGAGAAACTACATCAGAGTAGAATCCAGCATAATGCCATTGTTTGCGGACATAAACACCCCCCCCCCCTCCAAAGAAAACAAACCAAAGTGACTTGTGGATACGGAGAGTATAATCCTGGCTTAAGTGTTAACAGAACTCCTTCCTGGTTTTCTAGGAACCCATTAGTTATTTGATACCTCAGCCCTTCGAGGCAGCGGCTTTCAGTGTAGCCAGCACGTACCGTTTTCTATTGCAAATGCATAAGAAGCTAATAATCTTGTGTGCTCCATAGACTATTTACGTGCACAAGACCGAAGGCCGCTCAACCACTCTTACTCAAAATTCCCCAAACTACAGACTAAAAACAAAAAGCTTCCAGTACCAAAAACCTCTGCCACTTCTAATTAGTAAATATTAGAGTTTATACATGCACACGTGTTTTGGCCACACTTAATTCTTGTTAAATCAACACATTTGTTGTGCTTGTAGTTCTGTAAAAACAGTGTTTTTACATTGTTCACCAAGGCTCAGAATAGTTCTTCACTTACTGCTTTAGTCGGAAAAATGCACACATCTGTACTGTAAATAATCACGTTTGTTTTGCACCATTGCAATCAGAATTATCTTTTAAAACCCTTCTTATAGTTAATAAAGCTCTCAAGTGTCTATAACCCGATTAGGCCTGTCAGGTCACCACGTGCAGATCTTTAAACTAGAATTACATCTAAATGTGCTGAAGTCCTATTACTGAGGTCTTATTCTTCAGACAAGCTGTCTGTTCACCAATAGTCAGGTACCACTATGGGCACATTTATAGTTTTTATTTTCAATTTTTTTTTTTACATTTTTATTTCATTTTGACTTTTTGTTTTAAGTACAGTTTAGTTTCCTGAATGGATTTTCTTTTTTCACTTAACTTTTTGTTTGAAATCTCTTTGTTTTAGTTTAGTTTTTATTAGTTTATTAGACAAGACTCACAAAATAATTTCAGTTAGTTTTATTTTTTTTTCCTCCAAAACTTTATTTATTATTTCAGTTAACTAAAATTTTTTTCTATATCTAGATTTAGTTTTTAACTTCACTTAACTGTAATAACAATTGTTTACATTAAAAAAACCAAAACCCTTTTGATTCTCAAGCTCATGAATTTGAATTATGCGTCTGCAGGAAATCTAGGTTGTAACTTATGAAGCAACTGGAAATTCCTTTTATCCCTACGCCACATGTCAGGTAAACACAGCCTGCCACAACTGAGTTGCAGTGATGATGGTTAAGAGGAGTTTTCTGCTACGTTGTAAGTTACTACGTAGATTTCTTCCAGAAGTCAAAATCATGCTTTACACTTAATAACTGTGCGTTAACTTCTGTTTTATTTTATTTGTAACATTTTGTTATATTTATTGCCTTAAGGTACTGTAACTCTACACAGGTTTTTATCTTTTATGGTGATAAATTGATATGGCGATTTTCCAGTTTCATTGTACTACATAGTACTCTTGTACTATGTATGACTGTGCAATGGCAATAAAGATATCTTATAACACTGAGTTTAAGTGATGAATGAAATGTGCTATAAAAAACTGACACTTTTTTTTTAAATTTAACAAAGTTCTTAAAATTGGCTACATTTACAAGTAGTTTTGAAGGATGAATGATTATGCAGACAGACACACACACACACACACACACACACACACACACACACACACACACACACACACACACACACACACATCAAATAACTGCCAAAAATACAACTGGACAGACATTACAATCGTCACTACACACAGCGCCATTCTCCTTAGCATGTAAATGGCTTTTTACTGTGATACCAAAAACTTCCCTTGACGAGAAAAATAAACCCTCGCGTCTGATTCCTAAATCACTTCACTGACTTCATGAGCTGCTTTGTGCAACTTTGTCACTTGCTAGGTAAACGGAGGACTCACCTGGGCCTGTCCCTGCCCCCGAACCTGAGCTGCTGCCATCAGATCTCTCTTCTGACTGGCCTACAGGAAGGGAGGGAGGGATGGTGAACATGAAAAATACGAGGGATGGAAGGGATCCAACAGTAAGAACCACACCCAGGGTTTAGTCGCACACCAAAAATGTTTTTTAATTACACAACGCTTCTCATCACGATCTCTGGCAAATACAAATGCGTGCGCGTGAGCAAAGCAAGCATGGCCGCACAACAAGGGAGGACGGATGCCCTGTCCCACCACTGATACACATGCATAGCAGGGCTGCACAAATGAATCTCATTTGAAACTAAATATAAGAAAATATTACCAAACTGCTTTTCTAATTTAAACTATACACTTTTTTCCAATTAGACACAGTCACTTCTCATCTTTTCTGTTGCTCTACTAAAATGTTTAGATTTTACTACCTCATGACTTCCTCTCACTGCTTTTGCAGCTGTCTTCTTGATCACGTCTAAGCTCTTCAAACTTAATGCCTCGCTCAATGAACCATTTAAATTGTGCAGCCCTAAAATGCACACACATATAATATGCTGTCCCAAAGTAACCACTGCAGCTCAAGATCACCGGCATCCATAGCAAAGTAATTAATTATGCAAAAATTGAAAACCTAATTATACTGAAAGAACAAAAGAGACTGATGAAATTCAAACTGAGCCAAACAATCCCATGCACAAAATCAACTCCAAATTCAGCAATGATTTGTGTTGATAAGCGTCCCTGCTATGTTAAATGATTCCCAAATTGGCTGTGCTGATTGGCAGTGAACTGAAAATGTCAACCCCCAACAAATGACAGACGATCAAACGCTGAAACAGAAACACGTAGAGACAAACACAAATTAAACTGGATAAAGACAAAAGACTCTTCTGTTTTCCACTGAGTGTCCACTAATCCACGATGTAGAGTATACTTCTTGTGAGTACCCACTGTTAGGACTGTGGACAATGTGACACTCTAGGAAAAGTCTACAAAAAGTTCAGATCACACAAAGACAAAAAAGGGCAAGCAACAGGAAAACTGCATGAAGACAGCAAACTGTACAACGAGTAGCAAAATGGACGTCTCCATCTCCCAATCACAACTTACCTGTGATTCTAATGAGGTATTAGTTAACACAGAAAACTGATATTGCAATTAGGTCAAGCTCATCTTGCAGCAAAGAGGTTGAAAGCAGAGAAAAAGCAGTGGTAGATGAAAACAGAAAGTCACCTGATGAAGTCTCTGTGAAGACTGCCAATGTCTGACCTCCCACTGACTGCATGGTGAACGGGTGTTCGCGTGGTGCAGACACCGTCTTATCCTCTATACCGTCAATCACAGTCAGCTCTTCATTCAAAGTGAAAGACACCTGTAAATAGTCAATCACGTTATTTTTTTCTTTTTAGCAGCAGGACAGATTTACACACTTGGGATCTAGTTGCCATTTATAAGGTAGTAAACAGGGCTCACAGAAGTGATGCCACTGAGTACAAGAAATGCAGTTTCCAGGTACATGAATTTGCATTAGTGACATTGTTTCAAAGAAGCTTGTCCAAACCTATCCCCTCCAGTATCCCTAGCTTAATAAAAGGTTCAGGCAACACTGCCAGCAACACTGCCTTTCAGGCTGATGATATCAGAGCCAGTCAAGCTGTTGTCCAGAGGTGCATCAGAACGCCAAAACTTAGTGCATGACACCAGTTCAACAGTGGGCAAACAAGAGGAATATGGCAAGTAGAGCTGGGCGATATAAGATTTTTTCATATCACGATATGTTTTTTTCATTTCAGGCGATAACGATATAAGCCAAATAACTATATTTGTAAAATTTAAATGTGCAGTTGCTCACAAGTAAAATGTGAAATAATCAGCAGCTTGTTTTTATTTAAATATTTATTTCCCATAATAAGTTCAACAGGGTATATGTACTTAAGGAACATGAGACTTTTTCAGATAAATAAAGGCAAATATTGCAAACTACACAAAAGGCAGCCGCTAAAGCGTTTAAGTTTCAAAA